GGGGGAGTAATCAGACCCACGGCGTGATTAAGCATTCGCGTGGACGATCACGGATATCTCTTGTACGAGCTTTCGATGGTTTTCATAGGCTAACATTAATTGGGGGTCACTGCCATTAACATTTTTTTAGATATAGTAATATAAATTCCTATTGACATGACAGTGTTGAGTAGCTTGTTCTTCCAGGAAAGTCAACACGTAGTCTCATGATCCCCCTCCACGTGACAGTGTCTAAATGTAGTAATATAAACTCCTATTGACATGACAGTGTCTTCCATAGCCTATGTACTTTGCTTTTTCATCCAGAAAAGTCAAAGCATACTCCCGTGATCCCCCTCTTTTGGTTCACCCTCAAGATTGTCATCATCATGCTCTATCATCATTCTTCTTTGCAGCTCCTCCAAGGTTTCTCCTACTCATTCAGCTAAATGGGCTTCAACAGTCTCCTCAGAGTCAGGTGAATCTTCTCTAATGTGTCTTTCTTCCTCTGTTCTAAATTAATATGCCTTTCAAAGGGTACCCTCAATTGGTGGTCATTAATATTTTGTTAAATGTAGTAATATAAACTCCTATTGACATGACAGTGTCTTCCATAGCCTATGTACTTTGCTTTTTCATCCAGAAAAGTCAAAGCATAATCTCATGATCCCCCCCTTTTGGTTCACCCTCAAGATTGTCATCATCTTGCTCTATCATCATTCTTCTTTGCAGCTCCTCCAAGGTTTCTCCTAGTCATTCAGCTAAATGGGCTTCAACAGTCTCCTCAGAGTCAGGTGAATCTTCTCTAATGCGTCTTTCTTCCCCTGTTCTAAATTAATATGCCTTTCAAAGGGTACCCTCAATTGGTGGTCATTAATATTTTGTTAAATGTAGTAATATAAACTCCTATTGACATGACAGTGTCTTCCATAGCCTATGTACTTTGCTTTTTCATCCAGAAAAGTCAAAGCATAATCTCATGATCCCCCCCTTTTGGTTCACCCTCAAGATTGTCATCATCTTGCTCTATCATCATTCTTCTTTGCAGCTCCTCCAAGGTTTCTTCTACTCTTTCAGCTAAATGGGCTTCAACAGTGCTCCTCAGAGTCAGGGAAATCTCTAATGTGTCTTTCCTCCCCTGTTCTAACTGGAAACATCCGCGAAACTCCACCCTGATCTCCCTCATACTTTGCAGTAATTCAAGTTTAGGGGATGGGGGCTATCCATATCCATTGGTTTTGGTCATTTTCGTCTCCTAATTCCAGATATTATAGGTTGAATGTGGGTTAACTCAAGATTCAAGCATGCATCTGAGTTAGTTCTGTAGGTACAAAGGTTTACTAGAGGTTTACTTGCAGAGTCGACTGCCTTTTTCAAGAGAAAGACGGTCGACCAAACCTGAGGGCATGTCTCCAGTAAACCTTCACCGTGTATGCCTTCATTCTCAAGCCAAAAAAAGTGTCTTTAGACTTTGCACCTAAATCCCCTATTTTCCCCCTTCATTTTGTATGTTAGTCTAGCCACATTAGTAGTTTAACCCTAAAATACTATAATGAGGCACTGCATTGCCTCTATTGTCACTCAATTTATTTGCAAATCCATAAAACTACTGTAAAATGGAAAACTATCATTTAATACTCGATAACAATCTCATGTTAATATAATACATTTACCTATTTTTCAAATTATTATATACTAATAGAAATATCCAGTACCTCAATAAGAAAATTTACACCTATCAAGGTTCATAGATTTTTAAAAACACGTATGTTTGACCAGAGTTTAATAAAAATGAGTGTTGGAGGGAGTTGAAACAGTGACAATGACAATGAACTGTAAAATAGAAAACTATTATACTACACTTACCTATTTTTTCAAATTATTATATTCTAATAGAAATATTCAGTACCTCAATTGGAAAATTTACATCTATCAAGGTTCATAGATTTTTATTTTTATTTTTTTTCTAGAGTTTAATAAAAATGCGTCATTCTTTTGTTCGAAATCCGTGCCTACCTGGCTCCGAGGCGAAACAATTCAGATAAACACCGCAAGGGGGGTGATGGTCGCGAGATCGTAATCGATCCCAACCGTCGCGTCGGGTCGAAGATTCGCTCGATTCTCTCGACGCGAGTTTCGTCAACTTCAGTCACCGTTGAGTCACGGTCGCGCGCGGAACGGAAAATATTTGCAATCGTACCGGCTCGTGCTCGATAAACGACGCAGTGCAGTCGACGAGATAAGTTCGTCTCGAAAAGTGTAATCCTCCTCGATACGGATATCGCTCTATGCCATGGGAATCGAATCGAAGAAGATAAGAAATCTTGTTCCGACGGAACCTTTACTACTCCCTCGCGAGTGTAAATATACCAATTTTATTTGTTTACTTGATAGTTTAGCAAAGTGACGTTCATGCAGCTCTTTTCAAGTGTCATCGATTTCTCAACTATAATAAAGATAAATTAATATTACTATTGAGGTACAATTTTACTTTTTAATGAATTTATACTCGTATTTGGCAAAAGTACTAACCTCGTGGCCTCTTTCGTACGATTACTAACACCTGGGGTTACTTTTGACCCGTAGAATCATAGAACACAAATACGACTCGTATATTTCCTTGTTATGCGAATCTTCTCGATTACTATCATTCCTTAGGAGTTTTTGGGATTTTGTACATCGTATAACACCTAAAAGACTTTTCAAGTTACGTTTGTAGGTTAATTTTCGTGTAAGATTTGCAGGCGACGCATACGTGACCTAACCTCTAAGGAGGTTGATGACAACCCTGGGAAAAATTTGAATGGGGGATTCTAGAGACCAAAATAAGACAAAAATCAAGAATATCAATTTGTCGATTGAGGCTTTGTTAATAACTTTCGGTCAGGAATTTTTTTCTCAAAAGTGGATAGGAATTCGGGGGTAATTGTAATGACCAAAGATGATTGTAATTGACCCCTGTAACTAAATATAATTTTTTTAGTATGATTTGAAATTTTTTAATTTTGTCGAAAAATTTTATACATTCTCGAATTTTTTTCTCAAAAATGCGTAGGAATTCGAGGTTATGTCTATTCACCAAAAATGCTTGTAATTGACCCTTGTAACCGAAAATAATTTTTTTAGAGTGATTTGAAATTTTTTTTTTCTCGTCGAAAAATTTAGGGACATCCCCCTGTCGAATCTTCTCTAAAATTCGTTTTTCATTTTTAATAAATTTGTTTGACGTCCTACGGAAATGTTCTTTAATACTTTTTTGTAGGTGCCAATGAGGTCTACTTCAGAAAAAAGTTTCATTGAAATATATTCACTATTGTAGGAGTTATGGCTGTTTGAAAATTGAACCATTTTTATGGGCTCTCCCTCATTTTGCGATGTCAAGGATCAACTTTTCGATCATTTTTGGAATTTCCACACATTCTTCATCAAAATACGCGGTGTTTGCCGCTTGAAACATTAAAATCCCCCAATCCGTTCAGAAGTTATGACAATTTGAAGATTCGCAAGAAATTTCGGGGGTCAGGAATTTTTTCCTCGAAAATGCGTAGGATTTCGGGGGTACGTGTAATGACCAAAAATGATTGTAATCGACCCCCGCAGCCAAAAATAATTTTTCCAGAACGATTTGAAATTTTTGAATTTAATTGTTAATAACTTTTTAACGAAGCCTCAATCGACAAATTAGTATTCTCGACTTTCGTCTTATTTTGGTCCCAAGAATCCCCTATTAAAATTTTTCCCAGGGTTGTCCGAACACCCTGTATATGATGATCGTAAGCAAAGGGTTGGTTCATATTTAGATAGCTAAAAATCCCCATCCCGTAAAATAACATATTAAAGATTCAGAATTCAGTCTGACATGCGATCTTCCAATATCAAATTTCCCTCTTCAACCCCTGGTATTGACAACCTCAAAACTTGAAGCGTTCTTGCGCTTCTGCGCGCGTGTGTGAATTCTCGTGTTCTTGTAATCACGAACGACTGTCGAATGCACGGCTATCTCGGTAACAGGAAACACCGGGTGTGTCGAGATAACGTCGCCCCGCGATGAGTGTCTCCGACCATGCAAATTACTTTGCATGTTGCACACTTCTAGCCGACTGCTCCTATAAAAGAGTGACCGAGGGGGGACCGTGCCGGTGGGAAAAAGAAAAAAAAATACGATATTCCGTGCCCGTGTATTAATAGCGCGTGGTACCCAATTTCTTTCCTATCGGGAGCAAAATCGATCGTCAACGGGGTCGATGCAGCGTGTGCGATACGACTGGCCGCCACGCGTACCGTTGTACGTTTCGTTCGACCCCACACGCATTTCCACGCGGACGTGAAATAGGTTCAGCGTGTATTTACATGCACGCGTGTACGCGTACGGTTTCTTTCCTCGCATTCCGTGGACTTACGCTCCGTCGGTTTCACTTTTACCGATCGGAGAACTAATGGCAGGTAGATAAATCGTGACCACGGAGCATTGCACCGTAAATACAGATGCGCCTACGGTGTTATGTAACGCCGTAAATGTTTCCCCGCCTGGTCGTTGCCACGATGTCTTTCTTTATTCTCGCCTCGTCTGTTTCGTTCGCTGTTCACGCGACCAAGATTCTCGATTGTTTTCCCTTAGCAACCTCGGTTGGCGAAAAAATCGAGTTGCGATCGTAAAGTACGCGTGAATGAAGCGCATGTACAGCTGTAATCGGAGCAACAATGAACGGGTATCGCGTACGCGGCGTAACATTCGGCGCCGCGAACGCCGCGTGGACCTGACATAAACACAAATATTCGAGGTTAAAGCCGAAAGCATTCCGGGGGGCTGGTAATCGCGTCGGGCGTAGCAGCGGGAGCAGAACGTCTGCAGGTGTTCGATCATTTCGACCGCGACAGAGGATTAGGAGAGGAAAAAAAAAACGAGTTTCGATCGAACGGAGTTATTTTCTTTGAAGCTGGCGAATGTATTCTGTATTCTGTATTCTGTATTCTATTTATTTGTTCGGTTAGAATTTAAATCGCGATCTCGTGGGACTCACCGGCGAAGACCGTATCCTGGAGGTTGTATTTGCTGCAGCCAGTTTTCCCGACTTTCGGGAAGTCCTTTAGCTTCCGGCCGCTGAGCTTGAGCTCGCCGCTCAAGTGTGCTTCCTCCAGGATTCGCTCGAGGCTTCTGGTGAGCTGCTTCTGTATGTGGCCGCTCATATTCGACGCGACCATCGCCATATTACATTTTTGTCGGGGGCACGGTACACGCGGAAGCACGTCGCCGATTATTATTTCCTGACGTATCGGACCCGCTCGTCTTTTAAACGACGAGGCAAAGATGTCACGAGAACTAACTTTACGCCCGTTGTCTGACCACTCCCGGTACTCGCTCCTGCGCTACTGATCCGCACTTCGTTGGAGCTTGCATCGGTGCATCCAACTGGCGGCGCCACCGTCGGCGACGCCATCTTGAAGTCGACCAAAGTCGAAGCGCCAATTCGACGTACGAACTTTGAAACAAACGTTTAATCATTTTACCTTCGCGTGGTGATTCTATTAGTGATAATATTCGGTGTGAAGTGCAGTATCGAGGAATATTGTAATCGAGAAGAGTTGAGAATCGAATATCTGAAAGTCCAGGGGAAGGAAAATACCAAAATACCGTTTCGTTCGGCATCGACCGTTACGTTCGAAGGTAGGAACGAAATAATAACGAACATTCTATATTTTCGATATCATTTTTATTACGTACGAATTACATTTACACGACGTTTCGTGGAGCACGTCACAGTCATACTTGTATTTACAAATACACTCGGGCATTTCGAACACATATTCTATAAAGTCAAATTTAGTTCTAGATTAACGCGAATTGTCTATCGTCTCTTAGCTTCCACTTTTTGTGGATCAACGTATATATTTTGCGATATTTGATACTCCTTCACCATTTGTCCCTCGACTTCAGGTAGACACGCGCTGTATCTCGCGTATTCCATAGTGAATTCTCCCTTTCCTTGGGTGGTGGACCTCAATTCACCGACATAACCAAACATGTTATTCAGAGGAACCTCCACGTCCAAAATGAACCATCCTTCGGCGTTCTCTGTATTAATTACGATTCCGTTTCGTTTGGCTATTTGGCCTACGATTACTCCCTGTATGGATAAAAAAAGTCGTATTAATTAATCACTAACGACAGTATCGTGTAATAAATATGTATAATTACCTGAAATTCTAACGGAGCGGTCACTTGTATCAACATAACTGGCTCCAAAAGCTGCCACAAACCATTTTCAAACGCCTCCCTCATTGCGCCTTGGGCGGCTTGAAAGAACGCGAATTCCGACGAATCGACACAATGGTTGTCACCGTCCATCAATCTAAATTTAATACCCGCTACTTTATGGCCGGAGTAGCATCCTTTTTCGCACATAAATAGAAACCCTCTCTTCACGCCAGGAATGAACTGTTTCGGAACGTTTGTTCCTATCGTTTCGTCTTTAAACTCAACCTGAGTATTCTTCTCAATTGGTAGTGGCTAAAGTAACATATTTTAACGATATAAATCTCGATATATAGGCAGGGTTTCTGAGAGGAATCAGGGAGTACGAAGTCTTGAGCCTTTGGCCATTTTTATTCATTACTTTTTTGTATCATTAGTGTAGTTTTTTCACTTCAAACTCAAGTACAACGTACCCCCTTACACGAGACGGTTCAGCGTGTTTACATACTTCACAGGTATTGGTCGAAAACGGTGAAGATCCGTGACAGCCAATCAGGAAGCTCCAGCAACTCTGATTGGCTGTTACTGATCTTCGTCACCGTTCTCGACCAATGCCTGTTGAGTCAGTGGACTGCAACAGGAGTGGGGATGTAAACACGCTGCGCCCTCTTCTCGTGGAAAATTTGAAAAATGCATACCTCTATTATTCCAATTACCCTGGCAAACTGACCAGCGCCTCCCGACTGTTTCTTGTGCAAATAGTTGAACTCTACAGGTTCACGCAACGTTTCGCGGAAAGAAACTTTTGGTTTTCCAAGCACGATCGGACAATTGTATTCCCGTTCGAGCCTTTGCGCGTAAATCTCCAAATGCAACTCTCCCATCCCGGAAACGATCGTTTCCTAAAACGTATCGCACATTACAGTCTTCTGAAATAATGTACTCGGTGGTTTTAGATCACCTTGTTGTCCGTATCGTACTGGTAATTAAAAGTCGGATCCTCTTTGCTGAATCGCGAGATTCCCTTCGTAAAGTTTTCCCTGTCCTTTGAATTCTTTGGCTGGATAGACATGGATACCACAGGGTCGGGCACGAAAATGGATTCCATCGATAGTTTCAGATCAGAATTATGGACAAACGTGTCACCCGATGCGCAATCTATGCCGAACAAAGCGAAAATGTCTCCGGAGTACACTTCGGTCACGTCCTCCATTTGATTCGAGTGAAGTCGTACCAATCGTTGTACTCGAACCTATGGGACAATAAATTTGTAAAAGAATATCGGCTAGATTAGAGTACGTCAGGTTTTCAACAAACAAACACACTTTTTTATTTGATCTAGTGTTGTATAAAATATCGCTTTTACGCAACATCCCTTGATAACAACGAAAGTGTGTCAATTGGCCAAATTTACCAGCTTCCAATTTAAATGCTAGTCCAACGAAAGCATGGTTGTTGCTTCTCTCGGAATTTAAGTACACTTTGGTACTTCCATTGCTGTAAACAAAGAAAGAGGTTGTCCTATAATTGATTTTAAAAGAGAAGTCAACGATATGTGAAAAGTATTACTCGGTCTCGCAAAGCGCATAGTTTTGAACTTCTCCTGGATTTGGTAAATAATCCAAAACAGCGTCCAATAATGGCTGGACCCCCTTATTTTTTAAAGCACTTCCAACTAATACTGGCGTAAACATCCTTTTCATACACGATCGTCTAATAGCGTCTTTCAGGTCCTTCTCAAGGATTGGCACCTCGTTTAAGTACATATCTCCGATTTTATCGTCGACGTTACTTAGATGCTCGATTAATTCTTGTTTTCGTTCGTGAGCCTCTATATACAATAAATTGAACGTTTTCATTCATCAATAAAAGGTATATTTTTACTTCGACGCATACCTGTCCTCATATTCGATGGAATTTCATCTTCTCTGATAACATTGCCGTAGTCTCCTTCAAAATACAAAGCTTTCTGAGTAATTAGATCTACTATGCCCGCGTGATTACCCTCTAAACCGATTGGCAATTGTAATAACGCAGCATTATGGTGTAGTTTGCCTCGCAATTGCGACAGTACTCTCCTATGACTCGCACCCATCCTGTCTAATTTATTGATAAATGCCAAACAAGGCACATTGTACCTTTGCATCTGTCGATTTACGGTCATTGTTTGCGATTGGACACCACCTACTGCGCATAACACAAGCACTGCGCCGTCTAAAACGCGTAAAGCTCTTTCTACTTCCACCGTAAAGTCAACATGACCGGGAGTATCGATGATATTAATGTTGTAATCTTTCCATATCGTGTACGTCGCTGCGGATTGAATTGTGATTCCCCTTTGCCTTTCTAATTCCATACTGTCCATAGTTGCTCCAACGTTGTCTTTACCTCTTACCTGTTGTGTTTTATTTAATGTAAGAGAGAACAAACGTAACAGAAATAATAAAATAAATTATTCTGTAATTACCTCGTGCATTTGAGATATTCTTCCAGTATAATATAGTATACGTTCCGTCAACGTAGTTTTCCCAGAATCGATGTGGGCGGATATACCAATATTTCGAATCTTTTCCAACGGTTTGTGTTCAGCATATTTCGCGTACGACGACAGTAATCGTGAATTCTATGATGAATATAAAAGGAACGATGAGGAACATTTAACATATAAAGTAATTCAATTTAATAATTTGTTTTTAACCTAAATTCGATAAGAGGTTAGAATCCTTACTTTAAAAATGTGGAAACGAACCGACGGCAACGTACATAAATTGATATTATGTTTTAAAACTGTTATGATAGACATATTGGTTGATTTTTCAATATATTAACTTTTTACAGCTTTAATACTTAAAAAAATACATAATATTAACCTTTGATGGTTATGTGAATCGTGTTCGAATGAACATAGTCACTAACCGGGTTACGAAAGTTGAACAGATAACCGAACGATAATCACACATGCGTTATAAAATAAACAACGAGGTAGTTCTTAGACAAAAAAAAATTTTTTTTATTGTGTATCACATAATTATATATTTTATTGTTTTCTTCGTATTATTCTTACTTTAAGGTTCGTCTTAATACAAAATAGTGCACATCGTGAACGTAAGAATTTTATAATTTTCACTGAACAAAACATAACAAACTTATTCGACTCACACATAAAATTGTCTTTTATGCTACAAATATTTACATTGAGCTTACGGGACCGGAAAGTACAAATATTACAGAACTTAAAGAATTATACTTTGAGCTCAAATGTAAAGTACATTTTTATATATTTTTTAATCTTAATATCCGATGTTCAACTTTATATAGGAAGATTCTAGAGGCCAAAATAAGGCGAAAATCAAGAATACTAATTTGTTGATTAAAAGCTTCGTGAAAAGTTATTAACGATTAAAATTCTGCCCGTACTGAATTTTTTTCTAGAAAGTAGGTAGAATTTCGGGGGTAGGTTTATTCACCAAAAATGCTTGTCATTGGCCCTTGTAACCGAAAATAATTTTTTTAGAACGATTGGAAATTTTTTTTTTCTCGTCGAAATATTAAGGGAACTCCCTGTCGATTCTTCTTTAAAATTCGTTTTTCATTTTTCATAAATTTGTTTGACGTACTTCGGAAATGTTCTTCAATACTTTTTTGTAGGTACCCATGAACTCTACTTCCTCCCAAAATTTCATTGAAATCCATTCACTATTGTAGGAGTTATGGCTGTTTGAAAATTGAACCATTTTTATGGGCTCTCCCTCATTTTGCGATGTCAAGGATCAACTTTTCGATAATTTTTGGAATTTCTACACATTCTCCACCAAAATACGCGTTGTTTGCCGTTTGAAACATTAAAATCCCCCAATCCGTTCAGAAGTTATAACACTTTGAAGATTCGCATGAAATTTCGGGGGTCAGGAATTTTTTTCTCAAAAATGCGTAGGATTTCGGAGGTATGTGTAATGACCAAAAATGATTGTAATTGACCCCCGCAACCGAAAATAATTTTTCCATAACGATTTGAAATTTCTTAATTTTGTCGAAAAATTGCATACCTTTTCGAATTTTTTTCTCGAAAGTGGGTAGGTTTTCGAGGGTATGTCTAGTAATAAAAAATTATCGTAATTAACCCCCTCAACCAAAAATAATTTTTTCAGAATGATTTGAAATTTTTCAATTTAATTTTTTAATAACTTTTTAATGAAGTCAAGAAATTGTTATTCTTGATTTTTCGTCTTATTTTTGCCTCTATAATCTCCCATTAAAATTTTTCCCAGGGATGGCCGAACACCCTGTATATTAATAGCAATACGCTTAAATTGTTTTTCTCTCTAAATTTATCAAGTATCGAAATAATTGGAATTAGGGGTGAAATATTATTTTAACAATCTCAATAACTCGTTTGTTAGGCTCGAAAATGTATATTTAGAGGTATTTAACGAATTTCATAGCAACGATAACAAATTCCAAGGATCATGTAAAATAAAAATAGCTATGCGTCGCGAATAGTTTCAGCAATTTATGACTCGATGAATATCGACACTGATTGTCTCCGATCAAGCGTGCATAATCCGTTAAACTATGAACATTAAATTTAAATACGTGCGAGACAAATGGGAATCATGATTTACACTTATTACATATATCAAAATACGTTTCTAATGTGTGCTGCTAGTTCGAACATACAAAACACTAAGATCGACATTGATATAACATTCATAAGTAGCTATCTAATTATGTCAGATAAACACAGTTTTTAAAATATCGCCAGACCTCGAATCGACAGACCCATCAAGCACAAAATATACTCGCTAGGACCAAACAATCAGCGCAAATTATCGAATACCCCGGTTTCATATCTTAAACGACGTTTCTGAGTATAGTTTCATTTTCTTTTAAATTTGTTTCAATGCCTGCTCGGTGAATTTCCATTGAGAGTATAAAATCTGTTTTATCCTTATACATATTTTCTGTACATACATATATATTTATGCTGAAGTTATACTACAGCTATCGTTATCCTTACGTCTATAGACTTTTACAAATACAATTAATGTTATATCCGATTAAAAGCAAGTAACGTTTTTGGTACTAAGTTTAGCCGGCGAATGTTTCTCATCACTGTCGCCGAAATCCATACCAAACGGTACCGAATTCCAAATCGCTCTGTCGCTTCTGTCGTCCTCCTCGCTCAAAATATTGCACATCATTCGGTCGTCGTAGAGAGAGAATCTCGCGGTGGACTGTCCACGGCCGCGAACCTTCCTCACAGAGGGCGGTAAATCCCCTGGTGTTTTTATTCTCATATGGGGGTCCTTCAACACTTTAACGTTAGACCCGACATTGAAGACTTCGTTGAACTTGTCGATGCTCTCCTGTCTGCTCAGATTATTCTCGCCTTTTTTATTTCTTAACGTAACAAGGGGCAAAGTGGATGGTCGAATGTTCGTGTTGTTATCATTCTCCAATTTCTGTTTGCCAATCTGTACAGCATTTTTGTCATTCTTGTCCAACGGGGTGGCAGAGGCAGGTGTCTTGGTAATTATACCGTTCACGTACTTCCCACCCGGAGATATCGTCACGTTCGTTTCGACCGTTTTGATTTGCACGTTCTGCTTCGACAGTAAATTCGATTTGGAATCCTCCCTGTCTATTTGGTATTTATTGTACGGGTACATCTTCTTGTTGGCGAGTAGCTTCTTGAAGTTAGGCCAGCCGAATAACTTTTTCCTGGGACTCTCTTGCGTGCATACCTCGTGCACGTTCGTTTGTTTGCGTTTACCATATGACGTACCATCGTCGGAAATAACGTTCTGAACGTACGGTATGGGGGTTGCTGGTCTCAACTGCGTTAATTGCGTCGTGTGTTGGCTCAGATAATCGTGAGACACGAGGCCTTGCGCTTCGGAGACAATTCTGTATTGATCGTTGCACGTGTGCTTCATGGATTTGTCGACGAGTACATTACCATTGCACCCCAGTTCTTCGAACGAATCCGACTGTAACATTAAATTCCTTTCCATGCAAGGATTTCGCCCTTGATAAGGTTGAAGTGCTTGAGTATGATTATATATTGCTACTTCGTTTGAATTTTTAACTAAAATACAATTAGAAAATTAAATACGAGTTTCGTTTGATACTTACACAAGGGTGTTCGGCCACCTATGGGGAAAATTTTAATGGGGCATTCTAGTGGCCAAAATAAGACGAAAATTAAGAATATCAATTTGTTGGTGGAGGCTTCATTAAAAAAATATTAAAAAATTTCAAATCATGCTAAAAAAATTATATTTAGTTACAGGGGTCAATTACAAGCATTTTGGGTCATTACACATACCCCCGAAATCCTACGCATTTTCAAGAAAAAAATTCCTGACCAAAAATCATGTGACTCCTTTAAAATGTCATAACTCTCGAACGGATTGGACGATTTTAATTTTTCAAAAGGTAAACTACGCGTATTTTGATTGAGAATATGTGAAAATTTCAAAAATATTCGAAAAATTGTTCCTTGACCCCGTAAATTGAGGGAGACCCCATAAAAATCCTCCAATTTTCAAACGGCCATAACTCCTACAATAGTGAATGGAATTGATTAAAATTTTTTTCTGAAGTAGAGCCCATGGGCACCTACAAAAAAGTACTAGACAACTTTTCTATAGGGCGCCAAACAAAATTACTAAAAATCAAAAACGAATTTTTAAGAAAAATCGACTGGGGGTAAGTCCCTAAATTTTTCGACGAAAAAAAAAAAATTCAAATCGTTCTAAAAAAATTATTTTCTGTTGCGGGGGTCAATTTCAATCATATTTGGTGAATACACATACCCTCGAAATCCTACGCACTTTTGAAAAAAAAATTCGAGTAGGTGCTGATATTTTTGGGCGAATTCGAAAAGTTTCAAATCGTTCGGGAAAAATTATTTTCGGTTGCAGAGATCGATTACAATCATGTTTGGTCATTACACATACCCCCGAAATCCTACGCATTTCCAAGAAAAAAATTCATTTTCGAAAATATAATTTGAGGCCAGAAATATTACCCTAAAATTGCATGCATATCTTTAAAAAATCATAACTCTCGAACGGATTGGACGATTTTGATGTTTCAACAGGCAAACTGTGCGTATTTTGATGGAGAATATGTGAAAATTCCAAAAATATTCGAAAAATTGTTCCTTGACCCCGTAAATTGAGGGAGACCCCATAAAAATCCTCCAATTTTCAAACGGCCATAACTCCTACAATAGTGAATGGAATTGATTAAAATTTTTTTCTGAAGTAGAGCTCATGGGCACCTACAAAAAAGTACTAGACAACTTTTCTATAGGGCGCCAAACAAAATTACTAAAAATCAAAAACGAATTTTTAAGAAAAATCGACTGGGGGTAAGTCCCCAAATTTTTCGACGAAAAAAAAAAAAATTCAAATCGTTCTAAAAAAATTATTTTCTGTTGCGGGGGTCAATTACAATCACTTTTGGTGAATAGACGTACCCCCGAAATCCTGCCCATTTTCTAGAAAAAAATTCGAGAAGGGATGAAATTTTTCGACAAAATTAAAAAATTTCAAATCGTTTTAAAAAAATTATTTTCGGTTGTGGGGGTCAATTATAATAATTTTTGTTGAATAGACCTACCCCCGAAATTCTGCCCATTTTCTAGAAAAAAATTCATTACGTGCGGAACTTTAAACGTTAATAATTTTTTAACGAAGCCTCCGTCAACAAATTAGTATTCTTGATTTTCGTCTTATTTTGGCCTCTAGAATCTACCATTAAAATTTTTCCCACGGGTGGCCGAACACTCTGTATAGCGGCGTTTAGGCTACTTACAACTATGCTCGTGGACAATGCTTTCGGAAGGCGATAACGTTATCAAATTCTCAACGATCCCACCTTCGTTACTCGAATTATCTTGTACCATGTGCAACGAGAGATGAGCGACGTGAGCGTTGTCGTGGTGCGAAATTTCGCTGTAAAGACTGTTTGTAGTCGAAGGCACTAAAGTGCAATGGGAATTTACCATTGGACTTCCATCGGTGAAGTGCATGGTCACTGAAAAAAAAAAATTTATACATTCATCTTTACGATTTATAATAATTTGTGTCGTGCATTAAAACTTACCACGATGAGATTGTAGCTCTGAAAGACGTTCTTCTATACATAAAGCGGTTAATCGAGCCTCTGCATCTGCGTCCCAGCAATCCTCCATAGTTTCTCTAATTAAACGTACTCCCGGTCTGTCTATTAAATTACCCTCTAGCAACGGTCTAGCTTTATTACGGGAAACTAAAACTTGCATCTGCTCGAACGTCGGATGAAGGCCAATTTCTTTCTCGTACGGTTGTCTATATTGAGGTACTTCCGACCCTGGCATATAAATGTCAGAACACCTTGAAACTAGCTCCCATAATACTAAACCCATCGCATATACATCTATCTGTTTTAAAGAACTTTCACAGTCCCGCAAATTAACGGCGCCTTCCAACACTTCCGGCGCCATATATCTCAGAGTGCCAACCTAATTTAATAATTTCGATTATATTATAAATTATCTCACGGATTGAATAACTAGGTTGCCTTACATCGTTGATAGACTTTATCTCAGCGTGTTGTTCCTCCCCGTTCGAATAATATTTAGAACCAGCGATTTGAACCGCTAGTCCCAAATCGCATATACAACAAGTACCATCAGCTTTAATTAATATGTTTCGTGAGTTAATATCTCTGTGCGCGATGCAAGGCTTGAATTTATCTGTAAAATCGACGAATGCATTAAAGACGTCGTTCGAAGCGAGAAATCTTCTTCGCGTGTTTTACTTACCACCTTTGTGTATATCAGTATGTAAGTAAGCGAGTCCTTTTACCATAGAAAGGCCCATTTTACAAAATGTGGTCCAATCAACTATATGAGTCCTTAAGAAATCAGTCAGAGTGCCACCTGGTGCGAAACTAAGTACCAAAAGATATTCAACGCTGCCTTCCAAGTTTACTCTCTCATCCACGCCTGAACAAAGGATCATCTTTGAGATATGTTTTAGCGAACGAGGGAATATTATCAAACGAAAGATAATAACCATAATAACTTAGTAAAGATGGATGTTCCATGAAGGGAAGACAATAAGTATCGCGTTCGTTTTGGAAATAGTTACGATAATGGGAAGGAAATATTTTTACAGCGACATCTTGGTCGCCCATGCTGCCTTGCCATACCGAACCATAACGTCCTTGCCCTGAAATTACACAATGAATCCTATAACGTTCGTACACATATTTTTGTCTCTACTATTTAGTTAGCAATGAACGTACCTACGATCGTTGTAAGTTTTAAATGATCTACTGTGTAAGTACCAGTTCTTAGCGCTGCACTATCCATAAACTGATCCGTGTAGGAATGTGGCTTTCCTAATCTCGTTAACATATTTGTGTTGTACATACGATATACCATCAGTGCTACGATACATATCACTAGTAACATGCAAACCAGCACACTCGTTATGATGAGCATCCATCTTCCGGAGTCTGATTGTTCCAAATATTCGGTTGCTGAAAGAATTTTCATGAGAATATCATCGACTTATAGAATTTTATAAAGTACTTATGCTCGTTGGCCTTACTGGGTTGATGATTTTCTGTAGTGATAGAATTATGTACTTTGCTCTCTGAATACAGAAGATTAGTACTATTAATATTAACGTTACAATAATCCCCGTGACAACAACAGAATTTCGTGTTGTTCAATGCCTTGGTAGAACGCTGAAGAGCGATACATTCTGAAGTTTCGCATTTTTGTTCGCCGGACTGTTTCCAACAACCTAAAGCATCAGAGACATTATAGTAATTGTACAGTATTTATTGTATTAAAATAATATTAGGTGTACCTTGGGATAAAATAATAATTTTCGTTCCGTTCGCAGTCTTATCTTCTTGCCACAATGCGTGGCAAAAGTTAGTACATTTTTCAAATTTAATATTGTCATCTGTCTGCGAAAAATTTATTTATTCAACTTACATAATAATAACTGGATTCGTAGTTTCTCGCGTAATGGAACATGCTTTATAACTTACTACGATACGAGCTACATTACTGTCGTTGGGTATATTTTCAGGTACACTGGGTGCGTTTTGTTTTAAGGAAAGATTCTCAATACTTTTCTTTCTGCTGGCACATATTCTAATGGCGTTAATGGGCGTCGAGTTTATCCCAAGTAGCACGATCAATGTAATTGATACAATGGCTTTCATTGTGCCTTAGCAGGCCTCTTGAACACAAACACTTCAACGGAAGCGTTGGTCCTTAAGAACTGGCATCTTTGATTACATCGACATATATTATTACCATATGTAGGCTTTGTTCATCTGTTTATTATACGCATCGTACAGATATAATTATTGCAAATAAAAGACAGAATTACATATAATTAATTCTTAAACAGCGAACTTTTTTTAAAAAATAAACAAAGCTAAGGTTCGTATTAACGTACAAAAAAAATGGGTTATAAAATTGTTTATACAAAGATTAATTTTTTAAACGGTAATAAATACAAAGAAATAATTAGATACAGTAGACAGAGAATACGAATACATTAAAAATTTATATTTTACAAATAGTCGGTACTTTATTAGTAGCACGATTATTGACAAGTCCAATTAATTACAAACGTTCACGGGTCAGGTATTTGCGTTAAAAAATAAAAGCGGCGGCAATTACGACAGGAAATAGGGTCAGTTGCTCGAAGAACAGTTCCTCATAAATACTGGAACGATATTAAATATTTTAGGCTGCATTATACACCGTAAGCGCGTGTAAAAAGAAGCGTGATACATGCTGCAAAAAATGAAGAATAGAAAAAATGAAAAAGAAAAACAGTATCGCACGATTCAGTTACAAGCGAATTAAACGAAACATACTTACGTCTTAGTGGGCAGGTTTCTCGAGTTTTTTAACCGAGAATCTTGGGAGGAAAGATTTGATACTAGCTGTAACATCGCACACGTCCGTAAACGAGCATGGAATATTTTTAAAACAAATATCGTATCAACATTGGTACATTTGACAGACAAACCGTATCCATTGAATTCTAATTTGTTCACGTGTTCCGAAAACCAGCACAAAACGTTCCGTGCCTTTACGAAAGCGCTGCTCCGCGCTGCCAACTATTCTCTCAACAATTTATGCAATTTAATTTACTGATTATTTACTAATTTAATTAATCTTATATTAATTTTATTTTATCTTGACAAATAATCTTAATAAATATGATGTCATAAATTTTCTTTTCCCGTATAGTATTTATACACATTTGGTAAAACAAAACGGAACTGTAATTTTTCGATGAAAAGATAATTTAAACGCGCGCGCTCGATAGTATCGATAATATCGATTTCGACCAATCGGATGTTTCGGTTTGCGTTTCGGAATCGGTGGTTTCTAGCACGCAGTCCAAGTTCGTGAGTGTTCGTAACTAGAGACCCATGAATTGGCGCGCAGCGTCTTACTTTGCGTGTTTTCAATATTATATCGTGCAAATGGCGGCTTTCGCGATGTTTTGTTCGATGTTTCTTAAAAATTAACCGTTCGTACTATCTGTGGTGCATAATAGACGAGGGAATAGCGTTTGTCGCTTGACACAACACTTGTGAAAGCTTGCCGTCGACATGGTGAAGCTTCATAAGAAATTTTTCGCTGGTGATAAGGTGTTTGCGAAAGTTCGAGGTTATCCACCGTGGCCAGCCAAAGTAAGTTCGATCACAGATTTCACGGACACTTTTAGCAATTTGTGCTAGACATCTAACGACGAACGTTTGCGTTATCGACGATAACTTTTGGACCAATTTCATTTAAATATTCATTGTCCCGTGCCCGCAGCACTGCTTCAAAGCAACACGATATCGGTATTAATTTATTCTGAATGTGTGTTTACATAAAGACTGCATACGCAAATACGTGTATTTGAAATTCAATAAATCGCCACATATCGTTGCGCTTCGATGCGTTTCAATGCCATTTTATCATCGATACAGTCGTGTTACTTTGAAGAACGATCGGATTAATTGGTTAGATGCAATCTTATTTATACTTACAATGTGTACGTATACGTACAAAACATTATGTAACTTCCTTGTAATAGGAAACTGTTCTCCGTCACGTATCGATTTCTTTTCAGGTTGAAAGGGTTATCGATCCCAATTCAAAAAATTCAAAGTATAGCGTTTTCTTTTATGGCACAGGGGAAACGTGAGTATCGATTTCAATGTCATAGTTTTACAGTTAATCGGTAAATTTGGTATCGAGAGTATCAAATATTTTAGCGCCGTGTGCAAGGTAGACGAGCTATTCACGTACGTGGAGAATAAAGCAAAGTTCGGCAAGCCCCTCAGAAGAAAGTTTTTCCACGAGGGTTTAATACAATTGGAACAAGAGCTTAAAAATGACAGAAATAAATCGGGAGCAAGTATCGCTAACCTCAAAGGTAAATCCAACATGCGCAATACGTATAAGAGTATGACGTACTCATCCGCATCCTTTTGTGTAAACAAAGAATCCGGTATCGGCGAGGAAGGAGCAAAAACAAGTAATGCGATGGATTTACCAACAGTTAGCGCCATGGACAGCGACATGGAAACAGGATCCTTGGTCATCGACGAGGAAGAGAAAAAGAAATCCATGAAAAGAAGAACTCTGCTGGGCGCTGCTAGTAATCCTGTAATATACTTGAATCTATATACGGATATAAAATTTTGTTGGGAGTTTCCGCTCGTCTCTGCAATATTGTTCCAAGAACACAATTATTGAATCGAGTGCTCCGATAGCAGTATAGGAATTGCCGACAGACGGTTGTAGAGCCTGAACAGTTTGTGCGATTATTCCTGACAGTTGCATTAATGATAGAAATAATGTACAGGTAACCTCCCTATAACACGGTAGATAAGTTCCTGGAAAATGTCGTGTTGTGTGAAACTGTGTTATATGAGACCCAGAGCCAGTGTAAAAAGAGGAGTTATGTTCCGAAAACTTATTAAAGACAAATATTTTTTTTTAACACGAAACAAAAAATATTTTAATTTCAAGCAACCTTAATTTAATAAATTGTAATTTTTTTTTAAATATGTTCAGCAAAAATCATGTTATCCAGTGCTGTAGACGTACAGTGTTGTAGGTGGGCTACCTGTATTACATTTTAGTATACAATGTTAAAGAATTTTAAATGATTAGGAAACACCTGAGATAAAGAAGAGACGCGGTAAAGCAAAATCTCTGTCTGCATCTACGAGCGACACGACGAAGCAAGACGCCGCCTTGGATTCCCAAGGGGAGGAGTCGCCTAAAGAAGTCGTGAGTCGTAGCGGAAGGAAAATAAAACCGAAACGGTTTGCTGATTTTTCAAGTTCAGAGGAGACGGACGCAACAGACAAAAATGGTGCCTGCAGAAGTATTTGTGTAAGGAATTAATTTGGTAGGATTTTTTTCTAATAATTGTTTTCTGTTTTTGTCAGAACATGGAAGGGGCCGTGGTAAAGTCAAAATTGAAGATTCCAGCGACCAGCAAGCATCACTCGGTGTAATGCATAAGAAAAGGGCTACTTTGGAAAGTAAGCACCTACAGATAACTTATGTAGTTAAGATAATCTTACCAGGATTTAATGTGGTGGTACTTCACAGAAAAAAATAACGTAGGTGAAACGTCGGTATTGGAAGGTACGGTAGTGTCTTGCACTACGTCCTCAGACACGCCTGGGCGGTTTCTGTTGGCGTTAACGTTCGCTGGTGAATACGTAGGCATTAAGTTAGACATGGATAAGCCAAAGTCCTTCGAAAGCGAAAAGGCTCGAGCGCAGTGGGAATGGTCTACAGCTAGAAACGCCATGAGATTGAAAGCACAGTTGGAGAGCGGCGAAATCTTGCCGGAACAAGTGAAAGATTGTTTAGACTTCAACGTGCACGTCCCGGACGAGGAGAAGCGGCTGTTAGCAAAAGATGGGGCGCTACATCGTAAAACAAATAAATTGAGGTAATAGGAATGAAATAAATGCGTTAGAGTGTATCTTCAATTCTTCAATGGATTTCAGATGGCTGCGCATAGAAGCGCAACTTTTACAACTGGATGCCAACATCAAGTCCAATCTTGGATTGGATCGAGCAAATCCGGACGTATGTTTACAGGCAATGGACGACATGCTCTCACTTACAATCGATCCTTTGATGTTGAAGAAGCACCCGCATATCGTGGAGACTGTTAAAAGGGTAAGTGTTGCTATCAATGGATTGTAATATCTGTACTGAAATTTTGCTAAATTCTTTTAGTTGCGTCGATACATTGGCAATTTAGCCGATTGGAAATTGAACGAAGAGGAAGAGGTAGTGTATCTGTTATCTCAGAAGCGTATTTTTAGCTCGTCGCATTCTTCATTTTGTCACTTTTGAATTCTATTTTTAGACTAATTTCAAACAGAAGGCGGAACAAATCAGACAAAAGGCTGAGCATATATACAACAAATTTAAGGTAATTATATTTGATCGTTGCGTATATATAATAATTTTTGAGAAAGTCCGTGTGCTACGCGCCTCAGAAGAGAGAGACAGGTGTATTATATTTTTCTTTTCGATGAACAACGTGTAGGCTATGTTTACCATACCCGAAGGTCAATCGTTTTGGCAATCATTCTCGGATCAAGTGGTCCATTTCAAAAAGTTAACGAAGGACATGCCGGAAGAAAAAGTATTTTCCCTAATGTCCGACCCTGTTTGTTCAGGTAAATTTCGTTAGTTCGCAACGATTAACACGTTGGTTGCCAACGTTCGGCGTCAGAGATATCCGACCATTGGTGATAACGATTTTCAATTGAGAAAAAATATGGCTTTTGCTGTTGTTTGGAAATCAGCGTGTTAAAAGACATTCGAACGAATCCCGCGAAGGAAACGTCCTGTTTCTGTGCGTGCAGAAATAAAACTTGCAGATGCAGCCATATCAGAGGACTCACCTGCGGACGAGAGCGGTAGTCAGCCAGATACAGACGCACCTGTTCACGTGAAATTAGAAGTGCCTACCAGGAGTGAAACTCCAACAGAGTCGGAGGCCAAGTAACATAGTGATCTTTTGTATCCGACGATGTGAAAAATCATGCTTATTTTCTTTTTGTACTAATGTGTAGTACCATATGACACGAGTGTCTTAACGCTGGAAAAAAAAAAAAAGAGTTTGCTTTTCCACACTTGGATATCACATTTGGATAAATTCTGACACTATATTTTATTTAATGTTCTAGTAAATTTTCCTCGTTATCATAAACATCCTCCTTGCAATATCTGAGAACTGCTAAAAAGAACGAACCGAATACTTCTACCGTGCAAGCTTCTTTTAATCTTTGAAGGACATTACGAAAAATCGGTTGATCCTGATGCACTTAGTATATAGAGTAGATTGTAATTATTTCCTCTATTACATAGCATATTTCTTTTACGATTCTTTCCGCATCTTGGGGGCAATACCAAAAAGACAAAAAGGAAAAAAAAATATATATTTACGTCTACCGTATAGGTATTTCCGTTCAGCACCCGTCTTGCAAAGCGTGTCTACTTAAAATAGAAACAGATACCAATGTATATACCAGAAAAAGAACGAAAATTACAATAACCCCTCTATATGCAATGATCAAGAGGTACGACATGGGCACGATCGACGTCATCACTGTTTTTCTCAATCTGTAACTTCGACTTTTCCGTTTTCCGTGATTGTAAGCGTTTTCATCGCACTTTAAAGGCATGATTGGAGTGGTCAATCAAAAAGAAACAAAGGCATTGAAGGAATTGTGCGATTTATCGTTTGTTTGTATAAAAATATTGTTAGATATCGGTTAAGAATCTCTTAAGGCTTAGAACGTGTTCACTGAGGCACAGTGTAACCTGCTTGTATACAACCGAATCGCGAATTGAGCATTTATATCAGCCGATTCAAGCACGATGTTTGTTCAGAATTTTCGCAAAAATTTTAAATCCTCAGTGACCACTGTTAAACATAAAAATTGTGTTGCAAAACAAAAATGACAAATTCGAAGAATCTAACATAGTGCAATAAGTGTACAAATTGCAGGGAACTATACAGGGTGTTCGACCATACGAAAAATTTTAATGGGGGATTCCGGAGGCCAAAATAAAACGAAAATCAAGAATATAAATTTGTCGATTGAGGCTTCGTTGAAAAGTTATTAACGTTTAAAGTTCCGTGCGCGCAACTGTTCTCACAAGTGGAACTTTAAACGTTAATAACTTTTTAACGAAGCCTCGATCGACAAATTTATATTCTTGATTTTCGTCTTATTTTGGTCTCCAGAATCTCCCATAAAAATTTTTCCCAGGGTTGGCCTAACGCCCATAAATAATTGCGAAAATTTCTAATAAATATCGTGCTCGAATTGATATAAGTGTTTTCATTTTTATTTCCACAAGCATTTGACACTCGAATACGAACAAGCGAGCGAATGTCGGAAATTTATCCAACAATAAAAATGTAAATTTTTGTATTTTATCATTCCGTCTTCACGAGAATATGGAGTTTACTAGATTCCCACGACTTCGTTCGAACTATTATCGAATTATGTATCGATTACATAAAATTGATGATTCGAACGAGGCTGTAAATCTCGCCGATTTACCAATTATGTTCTCTATGATTACTTCAATTACCAGTGGTAGAAATTCTATTACGCGTGCAATAAAGATCGTGTGTGTGTTTTTTTTTTTTTTTTATTAGTTGAACAATACAATGGCGGGGTCTGTTGTCTCTGCGGACAGGAAATTGGTTGCATACAAGTGGAAAATACTGCATTACTGAATTGTACAAAGTAGAAAGAAAAAAAAAAAAAAAAATAGATTTTATTGAAGTCCAGCTGAAGAATACCGCAAATGAGTTTTCGTAGCAATATTTGTAAGTAATTTAAAGTGGGTAAGTATCGTTGTTCGTGTTAGTGAAATTGAAGATTCTTCAAGCTGGTTCGTGATTCGTTGTAAAATTGTTCAGTGGCTAATTACGAATTACACTTTTCTACGGAGATCCGTTCAAGGCACAACAATTATTTAGACCTGTTGATTGTTTCTCTTTACTACTATTAAACTAAGCACGATCGGTAATATTAATGATATAAATGTACTTTTATAAAAGACTTGTCGATGAAAGAGAAAAAGAAACACTGTAAAAGTGATATTTGTTAATAAAAAACGAATTGGTGTATTTGTTTTTTGTCGGGGCGGTGTGTGGCGGCCACTTATTTTCGTTCGATTATGTTTTAACATTTTATTTGCTTATGCTTCCAGCTGATGCCTTTGAAGTGCATTGAAAACAAACGAAAAAACACGAAAAAAAAAAAAATTATATATTTTCCGTTCAGAGTTTCTTTCTTATAATTTTAATCGTTTAATATCTTTTTCAATAATTACGATTACGATTGCGTGCCCGTTCGAAAATTGAACGGACGGGCGCGTGTCTCATGTTAAGTAAATAATATCCTGATTATTAAAAAGCAAAATGTTTATTTGAAACTGTCAAAAAGCATAAATATTTTGAATAAAAAATTTACTACCGAGCTTCTTCCGATCACTTTATTCGCGCGACGCTTTAGAGCGTTCCGCCATCTTGTTTACGTTCAAAGGTTTGTCCCTAACGTTTTTATACGTTTATATTTAGTTCCTTCGACGATACTAATCGTACTAATTGTACAAAGCTTACGAACTAGTGAATTAAATATCGTTTCATTTTCAGACATACGTTTATTAAAACAGTTGAAGCATACTGTCCTACATGGATAATGAAAAATGGAGCCGGGGCGTGGGGTGAAATCCACGGACCGTTTATTAATTTACTCTTGCGTTTTGTTCGATCAGTATTGATCAGTAATCCCGATAAATAGGAATAATACATCGATTGCATGCATGGCAGCGAATTATACGACTGCTGGTTAAATACCTCGAGTATTATTATTTGTCGTGTATGTGTATGCGTAATTAATAAGTCGAAAACGACTGTCTGATAACAGAGCACTCTATAGTACAAATTATCACACGGTCAGTTATCGAGGAAGTTGTTACACTCGTAATAAAAATCAAACGAGGAATTTAATTCGTGTATGAAACAATTCAATACTATGCCAATACTTAACAGTACCTAAATCGATTGCCTACGTTTCAACAGTTCCACCTTCGAGCAATCTTCGACGATATTCCATTTAAGTAGTACACATTTTTTAGCTGTTTTTGTATGCATATTGGAAATCTCAGTCCCCAGAAATTTAACAGTTTACCTAAGTTGTCGAAAAGTACAAAACCTTGGTAGGAACAGCGTTAGCAACAATTGGAAGCAAACATTTAATGTATTTCATATTGCAGAAACAAGTCGAAGAGGAAACGTAAAGAAGAGGCTGAGAATCTTTGAGACGGCGAGGAATTTTGCAAAAGAATATTCATAAATAGGACTTGGAAACTGATTATCGAGGGAGCTGTTGGACTCGGGGGACCTGTTGGACAAATAGGACTCGGAGAAAGATTAACGAGGAAGCTTTTGGACAAATAGGATTCGGAGAAAGATTATCGAGGGAGCTTATGGACTCTGAGGACTGGTCTATTTTGGACTCGGAGCACCTTTTGGACAAATAGGACTTGGAGAATGATTAACGAGGGAGCTTCTGGACTCGGGGCACCTTTTGAACAAATAGGACTTGGGGAATGATTATCAAGGGAGCTTTTGGACTCTGAGGACCTGTCTATTTTGGACTCGGGGCACCTATTAGAAGAATTCTCTCCATCGAAGGTGGTTCAAGACTCGATGAGCTCGATGGGGCACCTTTTGGACAAATAGGACTTGGAGGAAGATTATCGATGGAGCTTTTGGACTTGGGGCACTTTCTGGAAGAATTCTCTCCGTCGAAGGTGGTTCAAGACTCGATGAGCTCATCCCTTCTAGAAAACGATCGTTCTCTCTAGCTAATCACAACCAATTAATACTATAGCGGCGATTGTAGCCCGTTAACGTACGAGATTCGTACATGGTGTCGTAGGTGGAATGCACGATAAAGCTTATCGCTCCTTAACTAAGCTGATGCAAGCCACGGGTCTTTATCAAACAGTCCAGAGCCAAGCAAACTTTATTTCCGTACGACGATCACTCTAATCAGATTTGGGCAAAACTCTAAACCGAAATAAAATTTGCTTCGTTCTCCAAGCTTGCACAGCACTTCGAATGCTATTCTCTGTTCTAAATATATATACAAACACACGTAACATTAACATACGAGCGAACTAGCCGCTCCATACTTCGCTATACGCATACGTACATCGACACAGGAGTGTTCCATAAAACGTTACGCGGTTACTCCTGAAACTGTTTCTTAATTCTACGTCAACTACGTCAACACTTTCTTTCAAACACGTTGGCTCGTCCCAACGATATTCTCGGTAAAGTCTCTCTCGAAGGTTCGTGTAAACGCTTGTGTAATCGTCTGAAAAATATTGTATCAAATTTTCTCCCCTTGCGATTCGCGCGCCAGTTTCGTCCACGTCGAGCGGAGATCGGCGGAAACAAGGAAGCAACAGTTTGTCCCGTGCAACGTTCGTTGCGGGCGCTGGGTGAAAGACCATCAGTACGATAAAAATTGTCATCGTTCGTATTATAATTCAGCTAGGATTTTCGATAAAAAACGTGAAAAAAATTGTCTCCGTGGCGCACGTCGATGCTCCCGTTACGAACACCTTCCCGGTTATCCTTTAGCGCGGGGGAAGTTCTCTCGACCGTTGAGGGCGTAAAAAAATCGCTGTACATTTGTAATAGTTTAAATATTGTCGCAGCTGGCCGGTGTTCTCGACTTGTCTCGTGAGCTTCGAGAGGGAACGAACAATCTCTGGCGACAAGCTTCGTTTTTTTGCGAGACATCCCTCGAAGGAAACGTCGACGTATCGTTTGCAGGGGTTTCTTTGGCATATTTGCTACGGGGTACGAACTACATTTGGCTATTCATTTTGTTAAAATTATAAATAACGTTATTGCACGCTGGGGCTAGCGTGGGTTCGAGATCCAGCGGTTGTTGTCGCGCTCGCGAGTCGAATCTTAAGTCTAGTTTATTTCGACGGTGTGCGTTTCCCGTTTATCGCGAATTTAATCCGCTAGGTGGCACTCTGTATAATTGCACTCGACCAGCGTTTCTCTCTTGGAAGCTTGGAATGTAATCGACGAAATTAAGGCTACGACAAAACCGAAAGTTTCTTCGATCGTCCAGGGGTGGTCTGTAGCTAACCTCCTGGTGGACTGTTAGACGGAAGTCTCGGCCGAAGTAGTGCCATTCACCGACAACGGGCAGATGCTCTCCTTCGATCGTATCAGGTCTACCTGAAACGGTCAAACAAAACGTTCCATTTGTATCTCGCGAATCGGGGGGCGCACCAAGCACTTAAAAACGAGCGACGACTATGAAAGAACACTTTGCAATTGCGTAGCGTAGCGTCGAGTACACAAAATAGAGGCAGCCATAGCGTTTACTTTAAAATATATTGTAGGTAAAACAACTTGTGTTAGGTCTTGTTTAAGTTACCTTGATTATCTAACTACGGTTAATAACCCTAGAAGTTGATAGACTATATTTTATTATAAGTATTTTTTTTTTTGAAGTTAATTAAAATGTCTGACCCAATACGTCATTGCTTACAGAGCTTTCTTTATTCCTATGATAGGAATCTTACAATTTTACAGGAAGAGGTCACATGTTTTATTTAATAAAGGTTAGCGCAAATAGGAAACCAAAATGGCGGCGAGAAGCTTGTGCAGGTGAAGGAAAACCGACAGATGCGAGGCAACGGTAACCAAGTGTCGGGCAATGCGAGCAAGCCGGGGTTCATCTCGATTCCTTTCATCCCCCTTTCTATCAGATTAGTCGAATCAGTTCATGCGTCAAACGTGCTGCGACAAGGGAACGCGACGAGAACAGGGACTATTATCTCTACCGGGGTCGTCGTTCATCCTAGGGATATTTCTATCTATGACGACCCAACTGGAGGGTTCCGTGCAGCCCCCTTTTATAGTCTTACTCACAGTAGCGTACAGGGGGTATGTTGCATGCCCGTGTATTGGTGCTCTTGCTGTGTGTCTTGCCATGTGATTTATCGGATTGGTGATGGTGGTGGTTAGAATTTAGAGTCATTTACGTGTGTCACCTTGATAGAGATCCCACTGTCGTCTTCGTCCTCTTCGGTCATCGTAGTCAGCCTCGTAGTCTCGTCTGCCATCAACGAGCTATCCTTTTTCGAGTGCTTCTTTTGTTTACCGGCGCTGTACATAGAAATTCACCATATTTTTTATATAAACCCTCATGTAAGGGCGCCTCTCGTACTCGCCACGAGAGGGCTACTTGTCTCTCTCGCAAGCGATCGACTGACCAATAGCCTGTCGTCCTAGGGCCTGTTAGGAAGCCTTGCTTGATGAGTCCCCTAACAGGCCCCGGGACGAAACACTCAGAGTAGAGTAGTGTATCCTCTAGGGGGAATCCCCCTAATTTACGACGGTCTCTATGTGCTGTTAAGGGACTTGGGAAGATATCTCAAAAACAGTTTCGATGAACGAGAGTCGTAAATTAGTGGGGCCTTATTAATTACTTATGGAATAGTAGATACTACGCACTTGATCAACTTGGGTTGCTTCGGTTTCTCGTTGCACTCGTTCACCTGCTGCCAAATCCCAGTTTTGTTCACCTCCTCGCTGATGTTGATGCTCGCCATAGGGATTTTCATGATGTTGCCGTTGGCCAACGAGATCTGTATGTTGTCAGACGGCCCGTACCCCAACTCGTTCTGCTCCTGATGGGCAAATCATGATTTAAGTTTCAGGTGTAGCAGCCAAATACAGGGAAACGAAATCAAGCCATGCATCGAGCTCAGCAAAACTCTCATCACTACCTTGTCTCGAGACAGGTCGGACAACCATGGGTACGCAAGCGGTATACGTCGGTCGAGCTACAAAAATCTCAGAATTTGCAGACATTACTTCATGGAGAAGCGTAATGCCTGCAATTTCAATTCTTTTTGAAAAACTGGCAAACATAACCCCTATGAAGACCGTGGGTTCAGATCCGCCATCTTGGAAATCGTTTTAACAAATGGGAGGTTAGCTTCGATCTAAATGACCTTGATGGCTCGACCGACCCAGTTACAGTCGACATTCGAAATTCAGCGCAATAATAGTGTGATCTTCAGCGGGGTTGACATAATTCGAGCATTCCTCTCGATGCTTTGGGATCTACGGTCGTGCACTTGGGAGCCACGTACCAATAACGTCCGCAGGTTTCGACGACGACTGGTACCCTTTTCTCTCCCTGTTTCCCCTCCCCCCCCCTCGACAATCACCTATGGATCTTTGAATATTTTTTTTTTCAAGGTCGCAAAAATGTTCTATCGTTACGACACGTCGAAGGCCGAATCGTGTTCGTGTCGTGTCGGTCGATGGTGAGTAAGGAGTAGTCGGGAGTACAGAGAGATTTTGTGTGTGTTTTTAAAACAATAATGTATTTCCAATACGTCAAGGCGATCCGCGTTCGACGATACATCGAACCCGATACATATACGTGTCGAATTGTAGGCGAAACATCGGGCGTCGTTTCGTAGTTCCGTGTGTGTTGTCGCGATTAGGTGACACACGATGTTTATTTGGTCACGTTTCAACACCTATCGCAGTTTAGGCCAGGTAAAAGGTAGCGACTATAGATGAACATCTTTAAGTGGACTCCTCCGTATAATATAAACTTTCTCCGATAAATCAACGTTCTCGATCTACTATCGATTACTAAATCCACTATAACAATGTTTAAGCTCGCCTATGAGTACATCCAAGACAATCGTATCCAAAACAAACGCTATCGTTCAAGCATTCCAACGACGACATAATTGTTACATAATAATTAATACTGGTCGGGACCGAGTACCGTTTAGGATCAGGTCAATCTTACACGAAGTTTATTTGGCACGGGAGGATCTTCGTTTGGCCGGAATTTTACATAAAAAAAACATTTGTTCTCGCTGGAAGTGGTATGTGTCGCCATCTAGGTACTATTAAGTTCCCAGAAGAAACGTACTGGCATCTTATCTCACAAACGCTTATTTTTTACTACACAATTCACTAAGGCGTTCACAGCCGCCATTTTATGAGTCGAGCCAGCGAGTTCTTTCTTCTGGGGACCTTAGAACAGAGTTGTGCAAAATCAACGACCAATAATTGCAATTGTAATCATTGAATTCAATTGATACCTTACAGAGGGTATTCACCATTTCATACATTTGTCATACACTTATGAATCAATGAAGAAACTTAATGAATTTTTAATAAATTTGTAACTTTCTAAAATTTATAACAAAAGTTTGCTCTAATTTATTGCTACCTCCATCTTCTCTATTATAGAAAATTAATTCCTTTTCAAACTGTTTGAAATCTTTGTAAGTACACTTACCAGTTTCATTCGAGGAACTTAATATTTAAAAAAAAAATGAGAAAAGTAGAAAATAAAATTGTACTGCAAGAAGGCAAGATAATTATGATGATATATGCTGAATCGAAACATCGTTTTTATTTTCTGCGAATTTAGTCCATTCAAATACAAGTTACAATAGGCAGTAGAGATGTAAAATGGCGGCTACAGAAGTGAGAAAGTTCCAAAATACTTAGCAGTATTAAGTGTACGTTCATAGTATTCCACTAAGATAAATAATTAAAAAAAAACTTCAATGTCAATTTTAATTTCTACCTTTCTATACTAATGATATAGTTACAAAATTTTATAAATTGTATTCAAATTTCGTTTTATTAGGCCGCAACAAACGTTTGAAAAAGATGCAAGATTCCATAAATACAAATTTCATAAACGGTTATCAAACATTAAAGATTTTCGAACTGTGTAAGTGTATTCCAAATGTTTAAAATACTTAAAAATTGCGCAACTCTGCGTTAGAATACACCCAGTGGCAGACTGTTATTGCTTTGGTCCGAGAAAAATTAACCCTTGGACGGTTGAGGCTGGGTCATTTCTGGCCCGGACGAAAATTTCTACTAAATTATTGCGATTAAATTTTTTCACTATTCCTTTCAAGTACCCAGACATCAGATTTATTCGATTAAAATAATATTATTTTAATTTAACACTATTTAAAAAAATATTACCCTTAGAAAGTAAGGTTAAGTTTCAATTTTAAATACGTATCCCTCTTCACCAGTTGTTCGTTTAACCTATAAGTTCTTTTCTTTTCGAAATGGGTGTTAATTGTGAGGTCTGGTACTGTGATGGGTCAGAAAAGACCCAGTCTCCGTAGTGCAAGGGTTAAGAACGACGACCAGGACCAACGTAGCAGGATCTAGGCTGCGTTGACGCGATCGGTCATCAGGATGTCGCGTTCCTCGCGTTTCCGGTCGTAATCGCAGCCGGTTACAGTGACCACGGGGCAAATGTTCGCCACGCGGTCACTTCTCGCGTGCTATTTACGACAAACGATGGCATTTAGTATTCGTCTCACGGTGCTAACCTCGCCACTCTCCAGCTGGCGGAGATCGTCGGCGTGCTTCTTGCTCGGTTCGGGCATCACGTCGTCCAGGATCTTCAGCTCGCGTTGAGTGAACACCAGGTCCAGGGACTTGCGTATCCCGATCATCACCACCAGCTGACCGCAATAAATCACTCAATGTTAACGATATTTACCACTAAGATGGGGATAGAAGCTTAACAATAGTCTCACCATCAGTGGGAAGAGGATGGAGGTACTGCTGAAGGACTTTATCAGCCACAGACACGACAGACAAGCCAGTTGCATAGCCGTGAACAGGTGCACTCGTTTCAAGGGAACCTGGAGAAACAATCAGTTCAATTGAGCCATCGTTACCAACGCCATCGTTGTCTATTAATACCTGTCGGAGGAACATGTAGTCAGGCTGGTATTTGACTGGCATCAGCATGATTAGAATCCTGTCGAAGAACTGCAGCCCCTTCAGGGAGGCTACGCCCATGTAGAGGAAAACTCCAAACAGCACTGGCATGGGAATATGCTTCAGCATCGGTGTCAAGAGGACAGAGCAACCGATCATCAGGAAGATCAGTATGTGGGTGACACGTTGCTCACGAACGCCCAGAAACTGAGGCTTCTCGCCAGGTGCAGCACATTCAGATTCCAGCTTCAACGAGTTCACATGATTGATAGAGAGTACTGTAGCTGCGACGAACCAGGGCAGACCCATCACGGAGCAAACTTCTATGAGGATCGCTAGGATGAACAGGTCCAGGTGGTAACCACACCCTTTCTGGAAAACAATATAAAACAATATAAATATAAAGAACAGCAAGAATCCTCGAAAGGCGAGGAGACACTTGCCTTCAGCTTGTTCTCCTTTCTGTTGACTATCACTGCGGTGATCTGCTGGTCCATGAAGATCAGTATAGTGCCCAGCAGAGCTGGCAGACTCGCCACGATGGCGCTCCACCATGGATTATGTTGGAAAGGCCAGATGATCCATCCTCGGTCGTGCAACGTCGGCTTGAACTCCACAGGAACCTCCAATTTTGGGGTGGGGATGTTGACGATGTGATCCAATGCGCTCATTGAGAAGATCGCGATGATCACCGCGAAATCGCTGACCACCTGTCTGACCTACCATCAGACACGAATCTTTTATTAACAACTGACTTTAACTATTTAACAACTAGACACCAAACATTGGACCTATTAGCCAAAGCTCTAGGTGCAAATGGAATGCAATAAGTCCTAGTAACTCTATCGAATGCCTAAACTCAGTGTGCACGTCTTTGATCTCTAATTTAATCCAAGATCCTCTTTTCAGAGGTCTCTGCTGTGCAGGGATTGAAAGGGGCGTACCTTCGACGGGAAGAAGAGCGCATTCTTGAAGTCTTTGAGCTCGACGGATAATAAGAAGGTGCCCATGAATAGTATAATTGACATGAGGAACACATCGGGTATGTAGTGGGGCTGGTTGCAGCCGTCGCCCACCAGCGTGCCATTGTAAATCTGAAAGAGAGTTAACGAGTCGTCAGAGGAGCGGGAGCTTGTAATTTCGCCCAACGACCATTTAGGGCGCTTGGAGTCCACCGACCTGGCACGCTTTTTGATCCAGCGCCGTCCAATTTACGTGGTCGTAGCTGGAGGGCAGACTGCCGTTCGGTGGCTTGCACCAGCACTCGTAATCGAACTGGTCGTTCGCGTGAGTGTTGATGGGGTACTTCTTCCCGATCGACAGCACGTTCTCGATAGCCTGGAACGATCGAACAGTCATCGATGTACTCCCTGGTCAGAAGGAATTAAATCAAGGCTTAAGAGAGTCAAGATCGGGGCCAATCGTTCCCGAAGCCTGAAAGGAGCTTCGATCAGTACGTGGAACGCGGGGGGATTCGTGACCCAGATGCCAAGCGATTTCGCTGATGGAGCGATCCGGGAAGCACTCCGGTACACCCCCCGCATCCAATTAACCAGAATCACTCCAAAAGGACAGGGTTGCGTAATTAGCGAGAAAATAGGCTTCTGAAAGACCAGCCAATGTCCTGTCCAAGTTTCAAAACACTGTTCATGTTGGGATGGCCTGGAATATTAACCTCCAAATCTCTCAATCCTTCATGCGATGACTTGTGATTCAGTTTTTGCAGAGCTCATGGCTGCAAAGACTCGAAGATGTTTTTAAAAGTCTCTTGAGGCCTAGATATTAACCCCATCTATTGGCTTTTTTAGGGTTCAAGCGTACAAAGGCGAATGGAAGTGCCTATCGAGCCCTCCTCTTTTGTACCTTGTAAATGAAGATAAAGGCGATGAGGGTGGCGAAGTTCTCCTCCGTGAATCGCGTGATGTAGCACACGAGGGCGCTGGCGTCGATCGCCACCAGGATCAAGAGAATCAAGGCTATCCACGAGCCGATCCAAAAACGGAAGGACATGTAGTTCCACTCGGATTTCCTATAAGACACCATTCGATCACGATTAAACACTCTGCAAACTCCTTTTGCAACGGTCTACTCACTTGCAGAACTCGTAGACGATGGTCTCGAACACTAATACCGGCCCGGTGGAACCTAGAATGGTCAAGGGTTGCCCGGAGAAGAGACCGTAGCCGACGCCACACACGAAACCGGAGACCAGCGACTCCATGGCGGCCATGTTCTTCCCCGTGGCTTCGCCCAGCAGGCCACCAAACGTGATTATGGGCGACAGACAGGCGAAATAGAGGAAAATGAACGACGCCACGCACTGGATAGCCAGGGCATCTTTGAAATCCGACAGATAAAACGGTACTTTCCTCTTCACGTCGTTGACCAGACCTCCAAACAGTCTCCCGGATCTGGAGAGCCCGGATTCCTCTCTCAGCTTCTGCTCGTCCGCCTCCTCGTCCAGGTCCTCCTTTGGCTTCTCCTCTTTTGGTCGCTTCCTCACCTCCTAAACGAGATCAAGAAGGCTTTAGAATAGAGTAATATGTTCCAAACAGTGTAAAACAGGTTTGGATGTTAGGGAAGTGTTTGTTTTGTTGTACCTGCGACGGAATCGCGGCGGGTGGCTCTATTCTGATCGCTGGATCCCACTCCCCAGGTGGCAGCACTGTGACAGCGTCCAGGAACTCGTCGATCCCCGCCAGCAGATGGTTCCTGTTCTTCGCCTTGTAAGCCACGTCGTGGAACACCTCGTCGGACATCAGGGTGGCCATGGCGCGACCGATCTCGTGGAAACCGGAGATCCCACCCTGGGAATCCCACGATAAAGACACAAGGGTAACCACAAGTATACTCAGGGAGTTATGAAATAGAACTTGATACGTCCATTTTTCCCCTTTTCAGAGGGTCGATCGTTTCGATTTCACATTATTACTCGCCCGATGAACGATAAACGAGGAACGGAAAGATTGCCAGGGGCAAAACGGCGACAGACCTCAAACGATAACGAAGCCTCCATTCATACCCGGATAGAAATTGCCTCGCATATCGGGCACTCGAGATCGAGAATAGTCGGGGGCAATCAGCGCGGACAATTGCTTCGTTAAAACTTTAATTACCCCGAAGGAGGAAACGGGCTTTCGATCGAGCCGCCTCGAATCTGCATCGGACCGATGGATACGCGCGAACGAAGATCCAGCCGCGTCTTGCGGATTACACGCTGTTCGAAATCAACGGGGGATCTACTCGAGTCACTTTGTCCCTTTGTGACGCCCCCCTGTTCAAAGAGTCCTCGACTTGAGGCGATTAATTTGCTCCTGGAGCTTGCAGGATCTCCCATAACAGGAGTGTCAACACGGTCATTCTACATTCACAGTGTACCAAAGAGTTTTAAAGGTAGACTGTCACTAGAGAAAAAGGTCCAGGTTTTACTTTTGAAAAATTTTAATAGGGGATTCTAGAGACCAAAATAAGACGAAAATCAAGAATACCAATTTGTCGATGGAGGCTTCGTTAAAAAGTTATTAACGTTTAAAGCTGTTCTCGCAAGTGGGACTTTAAACGTTAATAACTTTTTAACGAAGCCTCCATCGACAAATTGGTATTCTTGATTTTCGTCTTATTTTGGCCTCCAGAATCTCCCATTAAAATTTTCCCCAGGGTTGACCTAACGCCCATAAATAATTGCGAAAATTTCTAATTTTCGTTCATTTTTGTTTCTTTTTTATAGGTAACTTGCTCTAGATATAGTGATCTTACCGTAGGTCCCAGCAGGACAAATATGAACCTCGTCGGCACAGGAACCTCCGTCAGGTCGCCCATGATCCCCGCCTGGCTGAGCCGAATGAACGCCGACAGGGTTTTATCTAAAAAATCTACCTCCCCCACGAGAATGTTGCTCGCCTCGGCACCCGCTGGTATCTTTCGCATGAAGTGTGTGTTACCCTGACGAGAGAACCATAAAGAACATATTCGACAACGCGTCTAAACATCCAGAGCAAGAAGAAGGGGCAAAGAAGCGTCGCGTTTAGACCCGTTTGAAAGTTTAACCCTTCGCTACATGAATTTTATTTCATCATTCATGGAAACAGTTAGCAGTTAAAGGAGTCAAATTAGAAATTTATATTACTCAAAATTCTACAGTTGAATCTTCAGAGCTAGATGTGTCCTCATGAGCAAATCTCATGTAGTATGGGGTTTTATAGAGAAACGTACGGTCAGCTAGGGGGATTTATGTAATTGCAGGGTTTAGTTACCCTGTGATTCACGTCTCCGTTCTCCAAAGCGGACGAGCTGTGATTCCTGCTAATTGACACGCTGCTGGGGCTGCGATCCATCCCGTTGGTGGCTGGCTCCTGGCCTGAAAGAGGTCTAGCTTACCGCCTACTGCGTCTTTTCGAGGCTAGGTCGCAACGAGAAGTCGCGCGGGGCCACCATGACCGAGGGAACGAAGCTCGCCCTCGATCATCGCCGCCAGTTCAGGACCATTGGTCGGATAGTCGTGACCCAGATTCGCGTGACGAAAGTCTCCCGAGTTGCAGGAATCCGATACAGGGGATTTCGCGGGACTACTGGGAAGACTTACTAACCCCGATCCTCTTAAATGCGACGCGGGCCACGGTTAAACATAACTCCGGTGCTTCTTTTTAGTGGAAAAGTTAATTTTCTGCCTCCCTCGTTGAACGAACCAATGGGTTTCCTAATGTAAACTGTGTTTCAGAAGCTTTCTCATCTCAACAATGGTCACTAATCAATTCTTTTATTAGTTTCATCTCTTGGGGGTGGATTTTGTTCTCAATTTTGAGATAGAAGCTAGTTGCTATGTTAGGACCTTCTTTAACTTTAAGGTATATGCTAACCAGTTGAGGCAAACTAGGAGAAAAACCTGTAATCTGGGCTAAAACGCAGTTAGACTATTAAACTGTGTTTCAGAAGCATTCTCATCTCAACATTAGTCACTAATCAATGCTTCTACTAGTTTAGTCTCCCCTTAGAGGTGGATTTCAGTCTCAATTTTGTGATAAAAGCTAGTTGCTATGCTAGGACCTTTGTAACCTTAAAATATATAGAATATATGCTAACCAGTTGAGGCAAAATAGGGGAAAGACCTGTAATCTGCACTAAAATGCAGTTAGACTACTAAACTGTGTTTCAGAAGCATTCTCATCGCAACATTAGTCACTAATCAATGCTTCTACTAGTTTAGTCTCCCCTTAGAGGTGGATTTCAGTCTCAATTTTGTGATAAAAGCTAGTTGCTATGCTAGGACCTTTGTAACCTTAAAATATATAGAATATATGCTAACCAGTTGAGGCAAAATAGGGGAAAGACCTGTAATCTGCACTAAAATGCAGTTAGACTACTAAACTGTGTTTCAGAAGCATTCTCATCGCAACATTAGTCACTAATCAATGCTTCTACTAGTTTAGTCTCCCCTTAGAGGTGGATTTCAGTCTCAATTTTGTGATAAAAGCTAGTTGCTATGTTGCGACCTTTTCTAACCTTAAAATATGTAGAATATTGAGGTTATCTGTTTCTGAAGCACCGTGTATGCTAACCAGTTGAGGCAAACTAAGAGAAAAAGCTGTAATCCGCGCTAAAACGCAGTTAGACTCGCTATTAAATGTCAAGAGCGCGTCGCTCAACCCTTCGCAAGGGTAGCAAATGCGGTGAGCCTTTCCGATAGATTGGCCACGGGGTGCTGGAGAGCTCGCAGCACGGATTTTGTTTTCCGTGTCTCTCGATAATCGTTTGTCGATACACGTGTTATTTTCAGCGACCGAGTCGGGTTTCTCGTCGCGAGAGGCGTTCGGTCGGATCAAGATTCGAGCAACTCGCGACCCTTCGGATCCAACGTTCGCGGAGAAACGCTTTTTTTATCGTCATCTGTCCGGAACACACGCCATTTCCCTAATTAAGCAAGATTAATTCATCTCAATAGCTAGATTGAGGTTAGAATTTTTAAAAGACTCATGAAAACAAATCTCCATTCTTTATGGAAGTGCCAAGTTTGGTATAGTAAAGCTGCAAACACGAATGTAAAATGTATTGCATCAAGTTTAGGGGAAAGTTAAACAAGTCTAGGAGTTATTAATTAACTTTTTATTCATCAAATATGACGCCATTTTTAACCTCAAATGATGGGTTACTTTTCCTGCCTCAATTATATCTATTCCTATTATAGTAACAAGTCAAGCATTGTTGAAATGCAATTTCTCAGATTGTCACAGAGTATTTTCCAAATTTACAGCTTTAAAAATTGTTTTGACTACCAAGTACGACGCCATTTTTAACCTCAAACGATAGGTTACTTTTCCTGCCTCAATAATATCCTAGTTGCGTCACAGACGGAATGGTAACAAGTCAAGTATTGTTGAAATGTAATTTCTCAGACTGTCAGTGTTTTCCAATTTCTTAGACACCCGGAAGCGTGTGTTCCGGATGTTTGATTCCTCCGCGGACGTTGTTGCGTCCACCCTCCGCGTGGGTGGACTGTAACCAATGCGTGTCGTTGCTACGGGGATTCTACGACGTCGTGACAGTGTAAGTAAGATAAGGCAAGCACAGAAAAGCAGTTTACCGGGATTACCGGGTATGGCAAGGAAGCGGCTACCAGGGTTCAGCGTTGCTCCGCTGCCGTGGCTCGTGGCGCCACCGAACGCCGGGGCGGGGTTCGATTCCTCCACTAAAAATGAGCATGAAACATACACCAGGATCCTTTATTTACAGAGGAAGGAGCCGAAACGGACAGGGGGGATCCCTCGTACGCTACACGGTTCTTTAAACCGAGACGCAGGGGTCGTTAGTGTCGTTAGTACTGCGTGGAGAAAAGGATAATTAGTAAATTACGCTGAAAGTACAAACGTTAGTTGATTACAGAACGTGACAGTTAGTACGAATGATATGCTACCAAGTACACATCGAGACACGTGCATGTGTTAGACAATCAGAGATTAAGATCATGCCTCGTGGATTGGTACTGGAAAGAATCGACGATTATTCATTGCTCGCCCAATCGATCGTGATGAAATTTTAATGTGAGGTAGCTGGGGCGATATTAGTGGGAGTTTATGTCATCGTTTTGCTGGTTTCGAAATTTTAATAATAATTTTCCTATTATGTATATTCGTTAATCGTCAAAATTCTAAAATAAATTTTACACAATAAAACTGAATTAAAATTTTGTTCTATCTTCCTTAATAAAGGTTAAATTAAATCTCATTAATAATGAGCATCATATTTGTCCGAAAATTGGATGTGAATTAATTAACACGCGGTCTGAATTATAATTAAGAGTGTCCAGACTGAACGAAATGCAAATGGCTGACGTCAGAGCCTTTGGGCATGGCGCTGGAGTGGGGATGAGCGCTCTGCCGCGGCGATCGACGATCGATAGGGGGCAGTTATGTTTCAGACGCGGAACAGTAAAGTAGTAGAGGTTCTTTCTGTGGATTTTTTCGTGCATAATGATTCTAGTAAAATTAATATTGAATTTAGATCTTGTCATTGCACATTCTCGAGTGCCTCTCATCTTGTCGTATTACACAATTCTGTAAATACCGACGTACATTAATTTTTATTTGAATCTTAATTTTCCAGATCGTAATTGCTCCCATTTTTTAAATTTAATATATTTATTTTAAAATATCTCATAAAATGCTCGAATATCCATTGCTGATATTAATTAAATTTGGCCAGGAAAACGCTTTGAAAGACTTAAATAGCACCATTGGGAGTGCCATGAAACCCGTCGATATCACGATACCTTATATTTCATTCAAATTAGCGGCAATTAAGGGCTCGTTATGACTTGAATGATAAAACTTCCCCCCTGGAAATAATCCAATTCTTTAGAGGAAGCTTTACTCATCATTTTTTAAAATCAGAATTTCGATTCTAACCTAAAAGAGAATTTAAAAAATTTAAAAATTTGCATTATCTATTAAATTATAAATTTAAAAATTTGTATTATCTATTAAATTATAAATTTAAAAATTTATGTACACTAATTTTATAAACTCGAACAATTTAACACCCTCTATTTTTTAAATAAATACGAAACCAGCAAAAGGACCTACTAATTTTCCATGGACTATGTCACTCTTTAATTTGATCAAAAGCGTCATCGAGCAGAAACAGCGATCAATTTGGCGTGGAATGAGTTCTTGTGATCGTGCGTTCGAAAAATCGTTACCGTGTCATGGTAAAAAAGATACATCAAGGACCGTTCAATAGTCGATAAAGAATCCTATTTCGTCGCCAAAAATCGAGAGCGTTTAGGGAACGTTAAAAAAGTAATAACAACGCAGAAAAAAATCATTGGCGGATCGAGGTCGCAGTAGTGACGATCGGTATTCGTCGGACGCGCGAATGACCCGAATTACGTGTAATTAAACTTCCATTAATTCTCAGCGTACCGACGGAATCGGTAATCGATAGTCGGTAAAAGATTGCTGTAGGTCGAGAATCGTTGAAATTTTTAAAGAAGAGGTCGCGAATCGCTATATTTTGACACAAGTAAAAAATGATGCAAATTAAGGTTAGGATTGTACCACGAATGATATGAAGAATCGTTTCTGCATTCTAAATAAGTCGTGGAGGTTAAGAAATTAATAAATGTATGCTTTTGTTCGAAAGATTCTCAAGTAAAACCAGTAGGGTCAAAAGAATGTAATTACTAGTCCGCCATGTTGGATTTCTATGATCTCTGATTGGTGGAAAGATTGTACAAAAATGGAAGAAATTAATCTGGAATCTGGTATCTAGTAAGTTTGAACTGGGAAACAGATTCTGCGATTGATCGATCGTGTGCAGTGCTCAACTACTGTAAACATCGAGAAAAGACGATGCAATCGAAAAGATTGAGATTTCGTAGCAAAGGTTGACCGCTATCCCGGCAACAATGTACACAAAAAGACACAGAGACAAAAAGACTGACGAAATTAAGTAACCAGAGGACATACACCGAGTTTTTGTGCAGAACCGATTAAAATTCATAACAACAACCACCTTGTCTAACCTTTTAGCTGACACATCGCGAACCACGTCGTGAATCCGACCACATGGGGAACGGCGAATTCGTCTGACAGAAACACAAGAAACACTCGTCAATTCGTCAATTCGAATTTTAACAGGAAGCACCGGGAATACCCGAATCCACAGTGCACGTTGGCACGCGTGTACCCAATTTAGGTTAATTTCGCTTCACCCAGCTGCAATTTTGGGGTTAGAATCGAGCAAAGCTTGGTTACAGGGTTTCTCAAACTTTAATCAATTGACCCAAGTTGCTACTTAGTACATCTAATAATAGTTACTGGCATAATCATTGTCTTCACTCGTTTCCGATTTACTACTTTCGAAAACCAATATGGCGGCTACTTGGGGCTTCCATGAACCTCGAGAGGACAGTTTGAGAAATCCTGGACTTATGGTAGGGTTAGAAAGTTGCGAAAGCACCGTAACCCGAGGCAATTATGGCTGTCTTTCAGCTGTCCTGGCCTATATTATACCTGGAACCAGAAGGTACGGTCCTTTCAGATCTTTCGCTTCTTTCGAGAGCAGAGCCGTGTTCGAATTCGGGCAGCTGCTGCTGCGACCTACCGAGGGCGCATACGCGTCCCCAGCGTCGCGACGCTCCTGTAAATCTGACGTCAACAACTCATGCAAACCACATGTACAGTTGTAACCTGAAAATGTCGAGCGTTTCGTACGCGTTTAGTGTGATTCCCATGGTTCGCGTCCGGGTGATTCCCCCATTTGGACGTGAAAATAAACAATTAAATCGATAAATAAATAAATTGAAAACAGACGAGTGAAGGGGAGCCGGGGATCGAAACGGGACGATAAATGAAATACTTCGTCGGAACAGGAGGGGCCGATAAAACGGAAACAAAAGGAAATAAATCGTTAATTGAACTTGTACGCCCCTAGGGATGTGTGTTCCGCTCGAGAGGTCGCCATTTTTTGCCTCGATTCGACTGCCCGCGTAAATATTTTCATTCCCTTCCATCGTGTGTTTAAATATACTTCGTCGAAATTTCGGGGTGTGTGTGTGTGGGCGTTGGCGAACTTACTCTTCGACGATGAGTGGTTTCGTCCGATTTCGGCCAACGATCTTATGATCGGCAGTCTGGACATGTTGTTTTCCTTGCGTCTCTCGTGCTGGTGTCGATGCCTCACCAACAGGGCTTCCCTGACCTGAAAAAAAAAATTTTTTCGTTCGTACAATAATCAAATTTTTATTCAAAAATCGACTGGGGGAGATTCTACTTTATCAAAACAGTAAAACGTTCCCTGGACTATAGTAATTTGATGGAAGTAGGGCGGAACGATTCACGTCGGCAAGGGGGGCCAGGAAATTTATCGGTCGAGAAACTTTCGGTTGGCAATCCATTATGTACCTTTTCCCGCGACTCTATTGGCAACGAGCCCTTATTAATCATGTTATCGAGGACCAGATCGGTGATTTGTTCCAGGCTCGCCGCCTCCATGTCCAGCATCACGGTGCCATTTAGCAGCAGGCTTCTCAGCTCGAACAGGGAGTGCAAGGAGAGGGTCGCTACGTGAGGTTTGCTCCATCTGTTTCCACCCTCCTCGACGTCCTCCTCGAATTTGATCCATCTGGAAATTATTGCGCAAGGGAAAGTTCATCTCACAGCCCAGGAGAGCATGTTCCCTCGTAAAAACGAAAAATAACCTGTTTTAGCGGAAAAAACCATCTAGGGAATTTTAGTCTAAAATCTAGGGACAAATACTGCTGTTACAATTAACCCTATAGTATTTCAACTGTTTATAAATGTGATGGGACTTCCGGTAGCTTGCGTTGGCAGCACTGGGGGTCGAAGGGGAAGGCCCAATGAGCAACGTGGTCTAACAAAGTCTTGTGCAATAAGTTATCAGTGATTACCAATGGCATCTCGTAGAATTAAACAATAATATCGTTAATACTGACGTTACTAATGTGGTAATTAAGGTATATTTTTTAGTATCATATAAATTGTAAAATATTTCTTTTTTAGGTTAGGTCTACCCCCAAGGATCAACATAGCATTTAACATGTCATGTTTCATAAAAGATGCACCTAGGACGAGAACCTTTTTAATTCTAAACCAAGTGTCAACGAATCTTCTGAATGCGTCTCTGAGAAAACGATGAATAATTCAATGTCCAGTTTATTAGGTAATTTTTGACACGGTCTCTGTGAAATTAATCCGCAGCACTCAGCGTTATCTCCGCTCGCGAATAGAAGGTAACGAGCAGGCGAGATTACCTGGCTGTTTCCTTCCACTCCATCTCGTCGCCATCCCTGACGAGCTCCTCCATCTCGGAGAAGAGTGGATGGGACTCGTGAGCATCGTCCCCGACTTCCTCGCCCAGGATGAACTGCACCCTCTGGGCCGGCGGTGTGACTGTAATATCAGACGTCGGTTTTGTGAGACGGTGGACACCCACGCCATGGAACACATTAAGAAAATTAGAAGAGTATCGATGCAGAAGAGAACACAGAGGTGAATTACGTGTCGTGGAACACCAACTATCAGGACGTTCGCCGTCGACGAGGCGTCGGTTGCGTGCACGTGTGTTCTATAAATGTAATTAGCGTGATCGTAGAAATGTTTCTAATTGCTTGGAAGCCTGTTGCGTGGGGACGTTTGAACATCCCATCTGTAAAAGTATTTTGGGTGAGTTTGAAGTGCAGAGGGTAGGTTCCAAGATGGAGAGAATGATTAAATTTTGGGCGGTTCTCTGGGACCTAAAATTCTTGTACATCGTTTTATAGGCCCCCAAGGAGTTCGAACCAGATTATTCGCAGGAATCATGATGGGGAATACCCGTATAAAAATAGGGGAGGGCCAGAGGTCATCGTTCTCCTGTTTCAAATACCTACCGATATTTCTGTACTAATTGTAGCTTTGTTGTTGCATGTATTTTTAATTTCCCGGAGCTTATAGAACGATATTGTATGTTTTAGGCGCTGGAACTACCTAAAATTTTACCATACTGGTTTTCGACGACGCATGCAGACGTCCCGAAAAGTGTGCTGAAAACGAGAACGCGCGCGAAGCGGTAAACGGTTTTTGTTTGCTGTTCTTGGCTGATCGGAAGAAGCTGTCCGGTGATGCGGCATGATTCATGGAATCGCGTGTATCGGAAAATACTTGTCGAGACCATTCGTATAGGCTGGCGTTTCGCGTTTGAACTCCCTCACTCATTGATGCGGGAGGGGGGTTTCCACGTCAAACCGCCGGGGATGTACTCTGCAAGTCGGAAATAAGAGAAACGCTTCGAACGAAGGTCGGTTCTAAACGCTTTGTTGCGATATAAACCCAGAAAGTTAATGTCTGAGAGCCAATGAGCCATCCCAGCAACTAAAATCTAAGTCTTTTCCAGACTGGGTCATTTTTTATGGTAGTATATCATTGAAAAATGGGTACTCAAGAATTATAGTATCCTCTGTTAGGGTCTAGACTTTATGTTCTAAAAATTACACGATGCTCAATTAAATTTTAATGCTTGTAATACTGGGAGGAACAACTATTCAATATAATATTTTTTTGTTGTGATATATCATTGAAAAATGACTACCCAAAAATTATAGCATGCTCTATTAGGGCCCAAGCTTTATATTGAAAAGATCACACGTGGTTCAATTAGATTGTAATGTTTGTAAAATAATCTGAACGTTCATGTGGGGCACTTGATAACGGGTTGATTTATTTCCTCTTTTTCTGAATTAATTAAATAAAATCTAGTGCAAATAAGAGTCGCACGATTTGAAAGGATTACTTGATTTGCGTTTGAGTATAATTTATAGCACCAATCCATAGATAAGGTAAGCACTATCGATCCTCCAATATTTTATTTTCCATTAGATATTTGCTAATACTAATAATTTTGTAACATTCGATTTTCCTCTGATTTTCACTTGCAGGAGTATTTGAATAATTTCGCGAGGGGGGCAGAGGGGTTTCTGTCGGCGGGAAAAACATAGTGCACGATTATGCAATTTGATTGTTACGTAACTTTCAGTCGCGCTAACAAACGCCGACTCTCCTCGTGTAATAACGTTGATAAACGAGTTAATGCGACGTTTGCGACCAGTCGTACGCAAAGCGATCCCGCTCGATAAATATTGATCGTCGACGGAACGCGCGTCACGAGATCATACCGGTGTATCATCAATTAAATATCCAGCCGTGCCGCGAATCTAATTAACCGATCGGCGTGACATCATCGGTAATGTGCCTGCATCGATTCGATCGACGAACCGTTTCAGAGATTTAACACGTTCACTGTTTAGCTTCTGGAAAAGGAAGCTTTTATTTTAGATGGAAATCTGTACTCATAAAAGCTTTAATAGTAAGGTGTTAGGTAGTAGCAAATGATATTAGAATGTTCTCTATTGTATCTTCAAGTTCTTTTCTAAATAATATCTTTCTCTATTATCTAGTGACTTTAATTTTAAACTAGTGACAATTGGAAAAGCTGTTATTTTAGATGGAAATATACAGGGTGTTCGGCCAACCTTGGGAAAAATTGTAATGGAAGATTCTAGAGGCCAAAATAGGACGAAAGTCAAGAATACCAGTTTGTTGATGGAGGCTTCGTTAAAAAGTTATTAACGTTTAAAGTTCTGGTCGTATTGAATTTTTTTTTCGAAAATGCGCAGGATTTCGGGGGTATGTCTAATGACCAAAACTGGTTGTAATTGACCCTCGCAACTGAAAATAATTTTTTTAATTTTGTCGAAAAATTTCATACATTCTCGAATTTTTTTCTCAAAAATGCGTAGGATTTCGAGGGTATGTGTATTCACTAAATATGATTATAATTGACCCCTGTAACCGAAAATAATTTTTTTAGAACGATTTCTAATTTTTTTTTTTTCTCGTCAAAAAATTAAGGGACACTCCCCCGTCGATTCTTCTTAAAAATTCGTTATTGATTTTTAATAAATTTGTTTGATGTTGTACAGAAAAGTTGTCTAATACTTTTTTGTAGGTACCCATGAACTCTACTTCAGAAAAAAATTTCAATCAAATCCATTCACTATTGTAGGAGTTATGGCCGTTTGAAAATTGGAGGATTTTTACGGGGTCTCCCTCAGTTTACGGGGTTAAGGATCAACTTTTTGAATATTTTTGAGATTTTACATATTCTTCACCAAAATACGCGTTGTTTGCCGTTTGAAACATTAAAATCCCCCAATCCGTTCAGAAGTTATGACATTTTGAAGAGTCGCAAGAAATTTCAGGGGTGCATTTCTGGCTTCACATTAGATTTTCGGTCAGGAATTTTTTTCTCGAAACTGGGTAGGATTTCGGGGGTATATCTATTCATCAAATATGATTGTAATTGACCCTCGCAGCTAAAAATAATTTTTCCAGAACTACTTCACAAATTTTTTTTTCGCCAAAAATTTCAGCACCTACCCGAATTTTTTTCTCGAAAGTGGGCAGGATTTCGAGGGTATGTCTAATGGCCAAAAATGATTGTAATTAACCCCCGCAACCAAAAATAATTTTTTCATCATGATTTAAAATTTTTTAATATTCTTGAATTTCGTTTCATTTTGGCTTCCAGTAATCTCCTATTATAATTTTTCCCAGGGGTGGTAGAACACCCTGTATACTCATACAAGCTTTAATTAATATTCTCTATTGTATCTCCAAGCTCTTTTTTAAGTAATATCTTTCTCCATTAACTTCCAACTAATGACAATTTGAGAAGCTTTTATTTTAGGTGAAAATCTATACTCACACAAGCTTTAATAGTGAGATGTCAGGTAATAGCAAATGATACAAGAATATTCTCTATTGCATCTCCAAGTTCTTTTCTAAATAATATCTTTCTCCATTAACTAGTGATTTTAACTTTAAACTAGTGACAATTGGAGAAGCTTTTATTTTAGATGGAAATCTACACTCATCAAAGCTTTAGTAAGGTGTTAGGTAGTAGCAAATGATATTAGAATATTCTCTATTATGTCTCCAAGCTCTTTTATAAGTTAAATCATTCTCAATCAACTTACAACTAGTGATAATTCATGAATCTTTTATTTTAGATGGAAATCTACACTCACACAAGCTTTAATAGTAAGATGTTAGGTAATAGCAAATGATACAAGAATATTCTCTATTGCATCTCCAAGTTCTTTTCTAAATAATATCTTTCTCCATTAACTAGTGACTTTAACTTTAAACTAGTGACAATTCCAGAAGCTTTTATTTTAGATGGAAATCTACACTCATCAAAGCTTTAGTAAGGTGTTAGGTAGTAGCTAATGATATTAGAATATTCTCTATTATGTCTCCAAGCTCTTTTATAAGTTAAATCATTCTCAATCAACTTACAACTAGTGATAATTCATGAATCTTTTATTTTAGATGGAAATCTACACTCACACAAGCTTTAATAGTAAGATGTTAGGTAATAGCAAATGATACAAGAATATTCTCTATTGCATCTCCAAGTTCTTTTCTAAATAATATCTTTCTCCATTAACTAGTGATTTTAACTTTAAACTAGTGACAATTGGAGAAGCTTTTATTTTAGATGGAAATCTACACTCATCAAAGCTTTAGTAAGGTGTTAGGTAGTAGCAAATGATATTAGAATATTCTCTATTATGTCTCCAAGCTCTTTTATAAGTTAAATCATTCTCAATCAACTTACAACTAGTGATAATTCATGAATCTTTTATTTTAGATGGAAATCTATACTCACACAAGCTTTAATAGTAAGATGTTAGGTAATAGCAAATGATACAAGAATATTCTCTATTGCATCTCCAAGTTCTTTTCTAAATAATATCTTTCTCCAGTAACTAGTGACTTTAACTTTAAACTAGTGACAATTCCAGAAGCTTTTATTTTAGATGGAAATCTATACTCATCAAAGCTTTAGTAAGGTGTTAGATAGTAGCTAATGATATTAGAATATTCTCTATTATGTCTCCAAGCTCTTTTATAAGTTAAATCATTCTCAATCAACTTACAACTAGTGATAATTCATGAATCTTTTATTTTAGGTGAAAATCTATACTCACACAAGCTTTAATAGTAAGATGTTAGGTAATAGCAAATGATACAAGAGTATTCTTTGTTCTGAAAGCTCGTTTATAAATGAAATCTTTCCCCATTAACTTTCAACATCAATTCTATGTACCTCAAATCAGAGCTCCATCTAATTTAGCCTATCATTACATAATAATTTACCAAATTGTGTTCAGTACAAAGTACTTAATTAAATGTAATAGTATTATAATATTTTAAAGGTCACATTTCCTACGTATCTCCATATATTCAGCCTGGGTTTAGTTTAGTCTATAATTACATAATAATTTACTGAATTGTGTTCAGTACAAAGTACTTAATTGAACGTAGGTGTATTATAATAATTTAAAGGC